AGAGTGTTGTTAAACGTTAAGGGAAGTTCACAGTTTTAGTATTGTTCAAGTGTCAAATTGTAATAACGTATCCAGTAAAGTTCTTGTCGTTTTTGTGAATAAATTGATTTAAAGTCCCCACAAGTGTTTCAATACGTAAAGTTCGTTCGTGTGTGTTTGTGAGTATTTCCCGATTTCGGTTCGTATATATTTTATTGTTACATTTTATATTTTTTTAATAACACTGTTCTGCTGTATTAAATTTTTATTTCCTTTAATATAATTTTTATGAATGCATATTCTTTTGGCAATTATCCCACTAGCGCGCCTCTGGCTCAGTATTTATCCGTCGATAACAATGGACAAATCCCTTAAAACAGGGTGATACCTACCTGCTCTTTATGAAACGACATAATTTTGCAATGCGGACTAGGGAAGTGACAGAATTTATTGACGGATCACCCTGTAGCGCTTTTGAATACTTAATGAGATTTTATTACTCTACACTCTTTTGAAATAGACTATAAAAAAGCTCAATGCGTTGGTATTTGAACTTTCATAATAAACATTTTTTGATATTCCACTCCTTTGTTTATAACTTCTAATGGAAGAGATGATGATCAGAGATGATTTACAACAGTATTTTTCAGAGATATGTCGAATTGGCTTTTGCCTAAAGGTGTACAATATCATCCTAATCCTTGTCGAGTACCTACCTGTTGGTTTCATCATAGATTTTCTGAATGTCGACTCGGTATATCTATTAAAAAAAAAATTTTCGCACCTGAAAAAAAAGACTGTGTCTTAATGCGCGTTTCGCTAACTAATATTTATTTTCTTTCCTTGAAATAAATTCTCAAAAAAAATTGAACATTGTCGGAAATACCATAGTTTGGTCAGATCCGAATCAATTCCTATTTTGTATGGGAACTAGATTATAGTACCAAACTGCTGGTTCTTATTAGAGGAATGCTGCTCAAAGAATTTGAACAATTTTAATTGATAAACCCTACTACTTTGGTGGAGAGTTTATGAATGATTCATCAATATAAGGGTTCAATTTTATGGCATTATGATCGATATAAAAAAAAATTGTGTAATAATATATCATACAATTTTACTTAAAAAATTTTAATACGTACCTTCTCACTTTTTTTATATTTTTACTTATTTTTGACATTTCTTCCACTTGTTCAGGAGGTTCAGTAAATAATGTTTTTATTTATTGAAAAGTCAAAGAATATTGCCTCATAACTTTTCTTCTAAACTATAGTTTACATGTGCATAAACAAATATGGGTCATTTTCAGGCGGTAAGAAAACAAAAAAATCAACCAAACCATCCAATAAAGTTGCAAGTGTACCAAAACCAAAGGTAGAAGAGTCACCTATTCCCACGACTGATAGAAAAAAAGAAAAACCGAAACCAAAGGAGATTATTAAAAATGATCAAGATGAAGATGAAACAGAGGAGTCAGATGAGAGCGATATCGACAATGAAACTAATGATAGATCCTCTGCGGAAGAAGATGCGATCAAAACGAATGAAGACGATGACCAGGTTAAAATTCAATAATAGAAAAGTTGCCTTTTGTTGCATGAACTTTTTTTTCAGGAATGGGAGAAATTCCGTAAAATACACGATAGAGAAAAGTCTCTGGAAGGAAAATCTAAAACCTCCCATTCTGTTCATTGTCCGTACTTTCCTCAAGAAAAGCAAGAATATTGGTGGACATATATTTGTGACAGAAAGTCTAGGACACTTCTCACAGCTCCTTACCATGTTACCAGTCTTGTTGATAGAGAGATGGTGCATTTGAAGGTATTTGTCTGTTTTGCTGCTCTAATAAGCTCTTTTTTTTAATCTAAACAAACTATTTTTCAAAACTTTAGCACTCATATGAAAAACAAAAACAAAACTTTATGTTAAAAAAACAGTAAGTTTTTAAAAAGATGAGTTGTGAGACCTAAACAATGTTCATACAGGTTGAACAGATGAGAAGAAATCGTCTGTTAATCAGGAACTTTGTCAACACAAAATTACAAAATTTCACATAATGGTTTCGTAAAAAAATGTTACATTTGACGATTGGAATTTGTTCAGGTGTTCGTTTACTAGCAAATGTTTAAACTGATAACGACCTACATCCACACAGCAATAAAGATTTTGATAGTCACCTCTTCCAAATTCCCTACATGGTTGGATCTGGCAAATTCCTGGCAAAAAACAACTCTTTTCTGGCTAAAAGTGAATTAGTTCTGTCGTGTATATTTTCTGCGTGAGGAACGAGAATATTTTTAATAAGGGGCGATGACTTCTCCCCTTAGCAAAATGCCATCTACTGGATCAACAGAAGATTCAATCCACAAATATTAAAGATAAACTAAGCAATCAGTTGAAATCTGCATCTTTCACTGCAAGGCAGCTGACTGCCTTGGGGAGCCTCGTTTAGATTTGAAAATCGCGGATTGTCTTTTGTCAATTAATAATAATATTACGTCTTTATTATTTTCCACATACAGTACATCTATATTAGAAAATGTTTTTTAAAAAAATTTGGAAAATAAAGAGTAAAGTTCATTTTCTCCAATGAAGCAATCACTTACTTCATCAGGAATATGTTCTTCCACTTAACTCTATATAGCACTGTAAACAGTAGTCAGATTTGGACCGTATAACGAATTTGCATAATTAAAATTTGACAAAACTAATGTTTCACATAATTTTATTTTAACACTTCTTGGAAAAAATTGCTGGTTCCCATAAATCAATTTTAATGAGCTATATGCACGTTGAATTAACTTATTGATATGTTTTTCGAATCTTAAGATCCGAGTCCAATATGACTCCTAAATTGTTGGCTTCATTTACTACAGTTAACAAATTATCTTTGATTTTACCGTTTATTTGCTGCGTTTCAGCACGATCAATAAGCAGTGATCAAAAGCTGAACCAATGAAGGTCGCTAATTCCTGATTTATAATTTCACAAGCATTATCCACTAGTGGGGGAGGAAAAGTGTAATAGATTTAGATGTCATCTGCATAGACGTGAATCTTACATTTCAAAGATTTGATCAAATTGAGAGTGTATATAGAAAAAAGCAAAGGGCCCTGAGGTACTCCTGATTTCAGTGTAAAATATTCAGATTAGACAATTTCAAATGCTCTACTGAAGTCTAAAAGAACAAAAATTGTACATTGACCTTTATCGATAGAAGTAATTATATCATCTACAATATTAAGTAAGGCAGTAGTGCAGCTATGACCTTTTCGGAAGCCAGATTGAACAGTGGGCAGTAATGAGAAATTAGTCAAATGCTCTCTTATTTGTACTTCAATACTCCTTTCAAGAATCTCAGAAAGAATAGGTAAAATGCTTATCCCCTGAGATATTTGTATTCTGCAGGTTGTTGATTTTTGGGTAGAACCTTTACTACAGCCTTCTTCCAAACTAACGGGACGACACCATGCATCAGGCAAAAATTTATGTGTGATATACGGAACAATAAGAGGGCAACATAGGTTGATTAGCTCAACATTCAACCCTTCACAACCCATTGCATTTGATTTAATTTTACATATATTGTCATACACGAATGTGTCATCTATTTCTTTGAACTCAAAACTAGGTGGCACAATGTTGTTAAGCCTGTAATAAGCCAGAAGATGATCAGAAGGAGCAATATTTGGAATAGAATTCACTAGGGAATTATTAATCCCACTAGGATTCTGTAAGTTTTCCGGAATTTGACTCCTCTTATTAACAAAATTATATGATCCAAGTGTCTGCCACATATTCTTTGACGTAGACTCATTAAATTGATGAAGAAAATAAGCCCTTTTTTCTCTTATTATAGCTTGATTTGCTTAATTTTTTAATTCCTTATAAAATTGTAGATGAGCTGGTGACGTTGTATGATTAAATATCGTCAATGCTTTATTCATCTCGTGTATCATTTGTTTTATTGTAAATGTTAACCGTGGGGCTTTATTTTTCGTTATTCTAGATGTAACTATTGGAGCATGCTATAGATTACGTCTCAATGAGGAGCGGTAAGAAGAGATATCATTGTCTTTTCTTAATCAGGCTTGTCCTTTAAGAACAGTAGAGTCCAGCAACGCATTTATGCTTCTGCCTATTATTGGAGAACCGCGTTTATGTGGAATAAACTCACTGATAATGTTTCTCCAAATGAATTTAATCTACAGCGATTCAAATTCAATGTGAATCGCTACTTTCGTACAGGCACCGCTCTTAAAGTAGAAAATACACACAATTCATTCATGTTATCCAATTTGGTACTGAAGAGCCCTAAGGCAAGTGTCTTCTGGCGAAACATCGATGTCTACCAGTGAGGATGACAGTGTTCCATGTAAGTGCAATTTGTTACCATTCATTTGAAGTAGAACTTCTGTGAATGATATCTGATTTTATTCCATAACGAATGTTTGGAATACAAACTGAGTAGAGAAAAGTATCTTCTGTATAATTCAGTGTTCATTAAAAAGTATTTGTTTCGAAAGAATTTTTTTCATTCGTGTAATTCAATGTTTATATGAAAGTAGTTGTTTCAGGAGGGCTTTCTTCCAGTGTGTCTGAAAGTTGCTTCTTTGCATGATCTACACATCCATGTATGGAGTTACTTATTTTCAAATTGATTACTTCCTTCCTTACTTTGGAAGATTCCCACATTATTTTTTGTATCAAGATGGAGTAGTAGAAAGCCAAAAACTTTCTTTTCCAAAAATTAATCACTCCTAAAAATATAACCCCTTCAATTCAAATATACCAGTTAATAATTCACCTCTATCAATCTGATTTGCCAATCTGGTAAAGGACATTTTCTGATAATTTCTATGGTAGAAATTCCTATTGGCATGAATTAAGAATTGTATATTGTTATTAAAGAAGTCTATTGTATATCAGTCTCTCTAGAATCTTCGATAACAAAGATTTGTCTATATTTGCCACTTTTTTATAGACTGGTATAATTTTCACATAGTTTAGGTTTTTTGGAAAAATTACTGATTCCACTTGACAATTTATTTTTCGAACTTCTCCACATCCTTGCTATCGTTCAGTTTCAAAAAGAAAGAAAATGTAAATTTTTAATTTTTTCTTCTTCAAATTGAACTACTTGTTGGTCAGGATCTCATTCGACTTTTGTGAGAACTGATCAGCAAAGATCTCTACAATTTCCTGTATATCGTATACTACTCTTTTATGGCTATCATACATTTGAAGAGGAATGGGTGAAATTATTGAGCCAACTTGTTTTTCTGAGATATTGTTTTTACTTTTGGAGTGACCCAAAGTTTGTTCTTCTCACCATTCCGTACAATTGAAAATCAAAGAAAATTCTATACCTGACACAAATTCACAAAATTATTGTAATTACACCACCCAAGAACAACTTAACCAATTGTTATGATTTTCGATTTGTTGAATTTATATGTGCCCAGAAAATAGCAAAACAACTACTAAAATATTTAAAAAAACTGAAGATCAACCAAACTGATGTCGTTCGGTTTGTTAGGTTATGGCAGTTATTATCTTGGGCGCAAATACAACTGCAATTCAGATGTTTTTTTTTTTTCAAAAGATATTCACAATTGAGGTTACAAGATTTGTGATTGGGCAAGCATGAATGATTGTTGTTGTAATCAAAACTGACAGTATTAACCATCACAGTGTTATCAACAATACCGCAAGCGAGAAGATAGAATCTTGTACAATGCAGCTGTAATACAATTGAACTGCAAAATATTGTGAACCAGTCTACTTTAGATGTAATATAAAGCAGATCTGCTGTTTTTGCAGTAGATGTCTTGTTTTGTCTCTGGAGCTACATACTGATCTACTGTTTGAGAGTAAAAAATCCACTGATGACTCATACTTTCTATGATAATTATTGAATGTTTGTGAATAGTGGAAATTACCATGAATATAGTTTGTATCTTTAAAATATATTTTCCACTTTTTTTTGTATCAATCTACTCTTTTTCTGACAGAGAATCTAATGAGCATGAAAATGACCTGGCAACACTGGTCGTGTTTCACAAACACAACATGAAAAAGTTAATATAACTCAACCAATTAGTCAACTTTTCCCCAATTATCAGATAATGCAAAATGAATAATCTCATCCTCCAGCTTGTGATTCATGGAGACTACTATGAAGACAATTTCAGAGGCTTTAAAGTGATAGATTACTTGATCCCCTGACATTTACAAATTTTGGGGCTAGAAAAGAGTGTTTTCCTTCAATGATGATACATTATTTTGTCTCCCAATTCGTTTTTGAGAAGTTCCTTGCGAGTAATTACTTACTTCTCAATATGAATTCGTTTGAGAAGAAAAGATCTTATTTATATTCGTTTATTCATAAATTTTGCCTAGGAAAACAAAAGAAAAAGTTACTTATACTTGTATGTTTGATTTTTTCACTTTTTAAACTTTCACCCATTTTATAAATTTGTATTCTTTTTTCTGATTTATAGTTCACTGCTCCAAACTGGCCTGGTATGTACACATTCACAGTGTGTCTACGTTCCGACTCCTATTTGGGCTTCGACCAGCAAAGGGACATTAAACTAGACGTGAAAGAAGCACCTGCCGAGATTACGGAGCACCCTCAGTGGGAGTTTGACGACTCTGAAGAGGAAGATCCTGCTGAGAACAATGACCGCGAGTCAGAATATGCGACTGACGATGATTTACCAGAGGATTAGTAGAGGCAAAGTATCGGAAGTTTGCTATTTGTATTTGGAAAAGCTGGGAGCAGGTGGATCTTTTTATAGAGGAATTTTGCAGGGAAGATTTTGAATGTATCAGTTTTGAAAGATGATACATTTTTTTCATTTGGTCTGAATTTATCAAGAATTTTAGTCATGCTGAAGTTTTTCAGTCTGTCAAATAAAAATCTGAGCGAAAGCTGCAAATCAATTACTTTTCATAGTTCTTCTTTCTATTTGTTTTCCACAAAATCTACTGTAGACACATTTTTTAAATTGTTTTTTTATTCAGCATCTTCAGTTGTTTGGGCAATCTCTCACCTGTTTTGTGACAAATTTAAAAAAACAAACCGATTTTAAAATATTTGTCTAGAAATTCGAAAAGGGAGTATTGAAAATCCCGAAGGCTTTTTTACAAATTTGAATAAATAATACTTCACTCTAAGATCAAGTATAGATCATTTTGCCTATGAAGTAACAATGTGCAACTGTGGCAAAAAAATGTTATAACGTTGATGAATTTATTAATACAATTTATGTTGTAGAAAGCAACTTGAGTCTCATGTTTATCAGAATGAAGCTTCTAATCTCTTGTCAAAAATCAAATGAAAGCCTGGGTTTTTTTGGTTTTTGAGAGAGGAGCAACTCATTTAGTAACGGGTTCTTGTTCAGATTTTTATTTGACAGATATGGCGTTTTACTAGTAAAATTCATAATATTAAATTTCAATTGATTAAGGGAAGTACTGATAGGTTCTGTGTGGGATTTCACGGGATAACTTCAATATTGATGTATATTTATATTTGTATTAAAAAATAATACTTGAAGTTCCTTGTGCATTTTTATTTCGATGGAATTCTCTATATATAAACGTATCTCATTTATTTTAATTTCCAATTAATAAAAGGCAAATACAGATATGATCATAACAATTTGTCCTATACAGTGTAATCCAATGTTTATCGAATATGAGATGGTTACTGGATTATTTGAAAAAGGATGAGTACATGAAAGATATCAATACTAATATTTCTAGTACGGAGGGTGCTTTAATCATAGCTTTTGCAGAAGTTATCAAGAAATTGTAATCAGAAGATTCATTTGATAGAGCAGTGAACACTCCTTGAAAAGTCAGATTCAGAGTTTTGCCCCTCGATTCATGGGTCATGCGTATCAAGACGCCCAGGAGTTCCTTCGTTACCTTTTAGAAGGTTTACATGATGACGTTAATAGAATTATTGTGAAACCTAAACCGACCTTAACGGAGATTAACGAAAAATTGAGCGACCGCGGAAAAGCACAAGAGTCATGGCTGATTTATTTGAGTACATATAACTCTAACATTGTAGATAATTTCGTTGGTCAATTAAAATCCACGATGAAGTGCATACATTGTGGACACTCATCTCTTAACCTTCGATCCTTTCTGGGATTTGTCACTCCCCATACCACAAAGAACTGGCCAATTGAGTTTATCACAGTGCTTGGATTTCTTCACAAAAGAGGAAACTTTGGATGGACATGAAAAACTGACGTGTTCAAATTGCAAGGAAAGAAGAAAATGCACAGTCTCTATCGATCCATAAGTTTCCCCGTATTTTAGTAATTCATTTTGAAAGATTTTCTCTGACAGAAAGATTTAGAGGCAAGTTAAATGTTGCCATTGAATTTCCTCTAGATTCATTAGATATGACCAATTATGCAGCAGACAATTTGACTCCTTGTCATTATAATCTATATGCACTTTCGAATCAGTGGGTCTCCACACAGAGGACATTATACAGCATTCTGCAGACATCCTTATACGGACACGTGGCACGAATACAATGATTCACACGTGTCACCAATTTCACGAGAATCACTTGTGAGTGGCGATGCATACATCCTCTTTTATGAAAAGGAGGAAACGAGTTCGCACCTTTGAGCGTTTTAAAAAGTTATTTTTGAACTGCTGATTTTATTGTTATAATGAATTATATGTTATTAAAATTTTGTTTATGAATAATCATATTTCATAACAATTATAATTTTTATTGAACTTGAAGTTTATGCTAGCGAAATACAATGTATAGTAACTTCAATCAGTTTTCCAAGAAACTGGCGGAAGGGTGGGAAACTAGTAACAGGCACAAGATTGTTGTAATGAGTATCATGAGAAAGATGGTAGGAAAACGCAATAAGTCCATGAGGCTGCAGTGTTTGTTAAAGACAACTGAAGTCGATATTTCCAAAAACATCAAACAATTTCATGCACTTAGTTAAAATTTCAGTTCATTTTTCAACACCAGAAGATATTTCAATTCCAAAGTTATTGCTAGAAATGGAATATGTAATAAACGATTTCAATGAAAATAAGAAAAACACTAAAGAGTCAAAAGCCGAACATGCTCACTAATCATTTTCAGAAACCTCATAATGATGGAAATTATCTGAATCAACTTTACAAAAAAATCGAGATCGTATGAAGGTAACGTTATGAACAAAAAAGTAATATTGAAAAAATCTTGAAAAAGGCTACGTATATTCGATTAGCGATTTTTTTGTTGGTACACTTGTCTCGAACATATTGTAACGAATCTGAAGCCGCCCCTGACCGATATGCTGGCCGACTCAACGAACAAACACATGAAATCACCGCGAAAAAATGCAACCGCCGGTTAAACTCTAGTCGAGTACTGAACTAACTATAAATTTCTAGAAGGGACCATTACATTATATAAGCTCGGCTTCCCGATCCAAGAGGGCAGTTCAGAAAGCGAATCGAGCGGGTAGACAAATTTCCAAATAGTTAAAATAAATTAAGCGTTAGTTGCTAAGTTTGTAATAAATAAATTAGTTTTTGATTAGTGAAATATTTTTGAAAATAAATTTGTTAAAGACAGTTGATTCTCTAATTTGTTACAATTGGTGATCAGAAGTGGATTTGTAAAATAAATCTTTGAGCGCTTGGTGGACAATCTTTGTATTGCGGTGAACTATAAGACTTATTTGTTTGCACAGACAGACTGGTGATTCGTTGTTTCGCGAAGTGGACAGTACCGGACTACGGAAATATAAACTGACAGACCTTTTTCGCGAAAAATAGACTTGTGAAAGTAAATAAGTGTTTTCAGACTCGATTAAAATAACTGGACACATACACTTTTGTGAAAAAGAGACAAAATGAGTACCATTAAAGCTGATTTAGAAAAAATTAAGTATTGGTGTGACTCAAACTCACTATGTTTTAACTTCAGCAAAACTAACATTCTATCATTTAAATTTGTGCACGGAAATTTTGTGCCTTCAAACTTATATGATAGAAAATAAACAATCTGCCAAATTCTTGGGAATTTGGATTGATAACTTTCTGAAATTTGAAGATCATTTAAAATATCTGAACAAAAAACTTTCATCTAGCTGTTATGCCATTAGAGTTATCACTAAAGAACTGGGAGCAACTGCTGGTAAAACTGCGTACTACGCTTTAATCGAATCTTACTTGAGATATGGTGTCGCCTTCTGGGGGTTTTTGTATGTATATATATGTGTATGTTATTTTGTGTAATAGTATTGTTTTCATATGCTTTGTCAATAAGATTTTTTTCTTAGACAATAAAGTACAGTGATTGATCGATTGTGTTCGAGGAAAGTGCGCCTAGTGAACTTTAAAGTCGCCGAATTGGAGGAGAGGGAGCTAGATTGTTCAGGAAAGAAATCAGTACTCCTGATGAGACTGGGATAACTTGATGCTATCAGGAGAAGATCCCGAAGCATATTTATTCGAAGTTTCTGGGGGTGATTTGAGTTTAATAATGAGCAAACTCAATGAGAATACCAAATCGCTGAAAGATGAACTTCAGCAAAATTCAGTAAGTCTGGAGAAGCTTCTGGAGAATTCGAAGAGCTTGAAGAAAGAACGTCTAGAAAATGCAGAAGGCTTTAAGAAAGAACTTTGTTGTGTGACGAGTCTACTCGAAGAAAGGATAGAAACCATCGAGACAGAGATAGACAAAATCAGGACGGAAATGAACACGGAAGTAGAAGAAATCAAAGATGAAATCGGGTATGAAATATCAGTCTTTCTGCTATAATGCATGATGTAATATTGAATAATAGCGTGGGATAGTACTTTCAACAACCACAGTAATATCTTACAAATAGCACAGAACTCAATTTGAAAATAATATTACAAAAAATAGACTTTAGGAAAGAAAGGTTTTGGCTTTCTACTTCTCCAAAACCTTTCTTTCCCAAAAATTATTCTCTCCTAAAAATATACTCCTTTCAGATTAAAAAAATAGAATTTTTTCAATGGATCATCTATATCAAGAAAATAATTTATTTACATCGAATAATAGTTATAAATTTTATTTTTGGTAATTATATCACTATAGTTTGTTGTCTTGGTATTGTCATAATGTTACCATGAAATGTACATATAGAACTCTTGTCAGAATATAACACAATACAGACATTCAAATGCCAATTCTTTGAAAGTTTTCAGAAAAATAATATTCAAAAAATGTCTTCTTATGATAGCCAGGTGGTTCGACGTGGGTGCTTTGTTCACTCACTCGAATTGACTACCGTGTTGGTCAAGCCCTAGTCTGAACGATCAATTTTCAATTGCTATCATCCAACCCGTGTTAGGAATCACACGTTAAAAGGTAAGACCTCGTTAATCCTTAGCTCGTACAAGTTTCGACTTTTGAGGATTGTCGTTCTTAGGGGTGCGACAGCTGGTTAACGGAAAAACAGATTTTTTAAAATAGATTATATCATTATCGATATATAATATATTTCATGCATTTTTATTTAAGAGAATTAAACAAACTTTATTTTATTCCTTTCTATATAATTTTTTCCCTAGTATACCTGAAAGTTGTATGTATCTTCGAAAAATAAATTATTGAATTGATAATAACTTTATTTAGCTTCAGCTATTCCAAACATCAATCATAAAAACATAGTCTAGATAAAATAGCATTAGTATGAAAATTGAAAAATACCTAAAATGATAATAAAATTGATTTATATGTAGTGTTCATACTCCCACATTTACTTCAGTGTGTGTAATTTATTTTTAATTTTTGAAATATGTTCACAAGTTATTAGCATTGAAGTGAAATTTGCCTACATTTACATTTGAAACCCACAAAAATTTGCGGTCCAATTTTAATAAGACACTTTTCAATAAAAAAAATATTCAATAGATTTTTCTAAAATTTAATAATGTTGAAATCATCAATCATACTTTTTTAAGTTTCACAGCAGCTATTCGGGCTTTTATATCATTTATGCTCTCACTAATATCTTTACTCAATGTATCTACTTCTTTGACTAATGCTTGTAAAGTTTCGTGGACATCCTCCAAATTGTTCGTTCCTTTAAGAAATTCTTCCATCTGCGAGAATTTGTGTTCTTGAGGTGGTTTTTCATCCAAACAAATGAATAATTGATTTGCTTGTTCCTTGCTAGCACAAATCGCTTCTACATCATCAAGAATATGTTTACCAGTATATGAAAAAGGTTTCCTTTCTGGTAAGTTGTTTCGCTTAAACATTTCAATATTCTATAATTTGTGAACTCAAGTCGCAATAGAAACAAACATGAAAACATAACACATCAACCAGGTGTTTTTAGATATCCCGAAAGTTGTCACTTACACTTTTGCCACAATAGTATACTGTGCTTTTGCTACAAAACTAATCAAAACAAAGACGGTTGACTTACCATGTTTACCGTTCAACGTCACACTCACGATCACAGTTTATCCGTTCCACTCACAGAACTATAACTTACAACTTAGGTTATAGTTCTGTGGTTCCATTTGCCTGCGAGCATTACTGTCGCAAACTTAAGTGAAATGGATTATGGAGCGTTTTGGGTGTATACGTAAACATTGCAAATGGCGAGATTGTAAAAATAAAGTAGGTTTTGAAGAGGTTACATAAGTCTTACAATAAGAAGTACAATTCAAATTTTTATATATTTCAGTGAAGTTATTGAACAAATTGAGTTAGAATGTAATCAAAATGTCTTTAACAGCAATTGGATATTTGAATTTCATTAGTTCGGACTTCTATTGTCTGATATTATATAAAATGATTTGAAATCCCTGAAAGAACTAATAAAAAAGAAGATTTGAAAAAGAATAGCTGAAAATAACAATTATATCAAGCAAAAAAACTGAAATGAAATAACAGTGAAATAAAATATGAGTAGAAATAAAACAATCGAATAAGATTAAAAATAAAAGTTAAGAGATTCCACACCAAGCTACGACGTTTCGATTATTAGTATCTACAATCGTCTTCGAGTGATGACATCACCCGAAAACAAACACTTTTCCGAAACACGAGAGCTGCAATATTAATACTAGTCTAGACACACGCTTTACCAACACATGAACTATCGATGCTCTATCGATGTGTCAGTATTCAACAATGTTGAAAAGTATTCAATGAGAATATGAAATTTGTTACAGATCAAGTCGTTTAGTGCAAGTGGTTTGTGGTCGTTGCACCGTTGCACTGTGCAACTTGTATAGAACGCAAATATAAATTGTAATGAATGTAACAGATCGCGAAATCTTCAAAAAAAACTGTAACTTTATGATATCATTTTCAGTATGACAACTGACAACATTGTAAAAATATTTTATTAACTTCAATGCACCTCAACGGTAGCAAAAGCCATTATCATAGAGAGAAAAATTCTTTTTTATACACTTGAAAACAATGAAGATGTTGGTAAAATCTCTCCATCTCACAACTTCACATCCTTACCTGATCTATAAAAAATTCTAGGCATTGCCAGGTCGATAAGACTTGAAGAGGCTTTTTTAAATATTCATCAAAATCAGTTTGAATCTATACTTCACTATTGACTAAGATGTATATGACGAGAATGTAATGTATCTTTTTTCTATTTTTTTTTCAAAAGTTGAATATTTATAACTTTCTATAAACTATTTTCAAATTTCCCGCTTTATCAAAGGAAGTATCTCGACCGGTCTCTCGACGCCTCTAGTGGCATATTCATGAAATAAGTTGTAATGTATCTTTTTTCTATTTTTTTTTTCAAAAGTTGAATATTTATAACTTTCTATAAACTATTTTCAAATTTCCCGCTTTATCGAAGGAAGTATCTCGACCGGTCTCTCGACGCCTCTAGTGGCATATTCATGAAATAAGTGGAGATACTTCCTTTTTCTCTTTAATGGCGAACGTCTTGTTCGTGTAGTATATATTTATGCATGGTGGAAGAATAGTGCTAGGAAATATATAAAAGATGGTGAGTTTTTACAAATATTTTATACTGATTTTAAATAGTGACTGTTATACGCAGAAGCTATATCAAATATAATTTTTTTAATATTCGCAAGAGTACCACGTGTAAGAACAGTTATTGAAATGCTCATATGGATCATTGCTTTGCTACGTGAATAAATAAATGTCAATATCCCAACTTATTCAAATGCTGCTATATATTACATTGTAAAAGAAGATTACTCTGGCCCTTCCAATGTAGTCTGGCCACTTCCCATCTTCAGTTTATTTAGGGTGTACAATCGCCTAATTAAATATGTTTTCAATTTTAGTCTTTATCAACTGCTAGGCCACTGATCAGTGTCTACAATGAAAAATCAGAAGTCGTCAAAGAAACGAGCATTGCCCTTCCGGCAGTATTCAAAGCCCCCATCAGGCCTGATGTAGTCAACTTTGTTCATCAACAAGTATCGATGAACCATCGTCAACCCTACAGTGTCAGCGACAAAGCTGGTAAGTGATTGAATTGGTTAATATCAATTGCGGTTTTTGTTGATTTCGGGTTGAATCTAGGCACTGAAAAATGTCCACATTCATTTGGTATTGATCCGCTTGATTGTTCCAAAACTGTGCCAAATCAAAGTGGTGACATAGGCGTTCCTTTGTGATTATACATATCAGAATAGGGCAGTGTTAACCACACAAAACTTTTCATTAGGAACAAAAATTTGGTCTGAATGTTTTATATGAGTATTAACTTCTTAGATATCTTTATAAAATTTAGCACAGCACTCTGAAGTCTACAGCATTTTTTTTGTGTAGGAAGCAAATAGTTTAAAAATGAAGTTTTTATATAAATGTGTAGATTGTGCATAAAACACCTTCGGGAAAATTTTACTTTATGGGAGGATTTTCGCGATTTTTCATATAATGATGCTACGTGATAGTAGGAATTCAGAACACTTTTTATTCTTTGTTGGACTCAATTAGTTTTCGAGATATAGCCTGTCAAAGTTTGTATGATGTCATATTTTACTTCTTTTTTTTTTAAGCATTAAATGATTGTAATTCTCATATTTTTCATTTAACACGTCTTTTTCCATATCATTGCACTTTTTTCTATTCCTTTTCATTCACTTATCGCCAAGTTTCTTGAAATTAGATTGAAATTCCATAATTTGTCACATGCTAACTCAATCTAACCTAACCTAACTCAATCTAACCTTACTTTACAATTTTGAAAAACTATGTATCCTCAATATCTAATCTAACCTCCATATTCTAAATGGAACATATTTTCGAATATTTACTTTTGTAAAAACTATCTTTCCTCAACATTTAACCTGACCTTCGAATTCTAAAAGAAACATATTTTTGAATAGTGAAACTATATGCAATTTATAAAAAGTGATTTGTGTGCACCTGACATGGAATTTCATTCTAATTTCAGGAAACTTGACAATAAGTGATTGAAAAGGAATAGAAAAAGGCGCGATGATATGGAAAAAGTTGTGTTGAATAACAAAATATGTGAATTGCAATCGTTTATTATAATATTCCGAAAGCCAAAATCGCCTATTTTGAATCATTTAATTGAGAAATATCTCAAATGCTATTGAAAAGACTGGTATGTGGCCATTTAATAAATAAATTGAAATTCAGTGACAAAGAATTTGAAGCCGTGCAAGTTTACTGTTCCGAGTATACAGTAGACCCAGGTGACAATGTACAACAAATACCTAAAGAAATACATTTTACTCAACAATACCTATCATCGACATTGTTGCCAGCATTACCGCATATATCATCTGTGGGATTAATTACTCCAGACATTGTCCGACTTTACCCTAAAGTGGACAGGAATACAAAAAGAAGTAGAAAGGAAAACTGCCTGGAGTATCATGGATGTATAAAGATACTCCCGAAAAATATTGACTGATAGAAATAGAAAAAGCCAAAGCGATGAAGAAAAAAGAACAAGAGAGAAAACAGAAGGCTAAAGAGATGAAACGTGCATTACATTTGCTATCAGATACAAATATAGAAATCAAACCAAAGAAAAAAAAATGTAGAGGCTGAGATTGATAGTGACTTTGAGACTGACATAAGTTTGATCAGAAGGATCAAATGAAATTCCAGTTATGACCGAGAACATAAAAGAGGAAACATTTTTGTTAGTGAAGTTCAAAAAAAAGAAGACTTTTACATTATATTGGACAGGTGATTACAAGATATAGCCCTAATGAATATTAGGTTTCATTTATGAGAAAGAAGCCAGGTACCTGGAAATTTGGTTTTCCTAATATTAAAGATGAAGGAACTGTATATTTATCAGACGTAGTATGTGTATTGCCTCTGCCTAAATCTGCTTCTACAGATAGAACAGCTGATATACTTTGTTTTAAAAAAAGATCTCACTATGTATAACATGCAATAACAGATTTATTAAGTTTGTTTAATATGTTACACTAATGATGGTTGAGTGAAATGATGATTTCATGACTTGGATATAACGAAGTTGATTGTGAGTACCTTTAGAGTACATTTTATGTTTATTTTGACCTCAATAAATGGATAATTTCATATAATAAGCTGTTTTATATAATGAGCTTCTCAGAAATGTTGCTGTTGCTTCATCATAGTAGTTTGTATCAGCACTAAATTTTACTCTAACTATATCCAAATTTATTAGGTATATAATAGCATTGAAGTTATTTTGCAATAACTAATAGCTTTTCTGTTATACGGCTGAGAGTAAAAAATGTACGAATCCTACCTGCTCTCCCCTATTTCACTGATGTGTTGAATCTAGTCGTGTCACTATGACAATATGTAATGACATTCATTCGCTCATTTGATTAAAACCCAGCAATAGGAATCTTGTTTAAATTGAAGTAGACCATGCATAGGAATCACATGTCTGATGAAAGAAGCCAATAAACCAAATTTGTCCTTAAATAAGTCTCGAGGCTTAGTTATGCAGCATTCTCACAATTTCAGTCACTGTCTTAATCAAATTGAACCAATGGCATCAAATGTGATTGTGAGAAAATTTCAAAACTTTGTATGGATGCTTCTACAAAAATTCACAGGTTTAATATTATATAATTGAATTAGACAAATCAAATGAATATGTAAATTAAAACTCACGGATAGAATGGCCAGATATAAGAGATCAAAATGAAAAACAAATTACCATACTTCACTGATTCACTCCACCTTGAATACAAATCATGTATATATAATATACAGGAATCTCAAGTTCATATTGGAAACTTATTAGTATAATCATACACAACGTATTGGTAATGCAATAATGGAAGTGACTGATATTTTCAATGAGAATCGATAAACATTTTTCAATTCAATAAATATACATCTTGGCAAAATTATAAATTACACAGTTGGAGTTGTTTCTTCTATGCCGATTTGATTTTGTGGCCTCTTAAATGCTTCCTCTATTCCATAGGTCACCAAACTTCCGCGGAGTCTTGGGGTACCGGTCGTGCTGTCGCCCGTATTCCCCGTGTCAGGGGCGGCGGTACCCACCGTTCCGGTCAGGGTGCTTTCGGCAACATGTGTCGCGGAGGTCGCATGTTCGCTCCCACAAAGCCATGGCGCAGGTGGCACCGCAGGGTCAACGTCAATCAGCGCCGATACGCCCTGGCTTCGGCCGTCGCCGCTAGCGGAGTGCCCGCCCTTGTGATGAGCAAAGGGCACGTCGTCGACCAGATCCCTGAGCTGCCTCTGGTGGTGTCCGACAAAGTGCAGGAGATGAGCAAGACCAAGGAGGCTGTGCAGTTCTTGAGGAGGATCAAGGCATGGTCTGATATCCAAAAGGTATTTTTTTTTACCTGTGTTCCAGTTATAACCACTCAATTCAGGGGAATAATATCAATACAAAAAAAAATATTTTGGTGTAAAGAAATAATGTTCAGACTTTCGACTTTTACACAACAATTGAAAAATACTAGAGATCAAACTTACCCTTTCAGTGTGACATGAAATTTTTTTACAAACTGTATGCCCAGTGTAAATCAAATTATCTAAAATAACAATTCGTTCAGACCAGTCTCAAATTACCTACACTGTAGGTTAATGGACTTGACACATATAAAAAAAAAACAACTGCTCCCCTGGCTAATACCATGAAGGGCGTTGAATTATATCGGACAGGTGCCAGTGCAGGATTGTTCACTGAAGTTATTCCTGCATATGCTGTTGGCGATACAACTGCTCCAACTTTTCAGTTACTTGATTTACAAAGTGATGGATCATATAATAATTATCCATTAAGGTATAGTGAATATGAACATATGGTGTATCAATTAGTCATACTATTTTTTAAAACAAAAAAACTCGAAGCAGCATTCAAATGTACTTTGAAAATATTTGTTCAACAAAAAATCTATTAGAATCTGTTTGGAATGTATGGTTTGGTTTGGAGTTTTTTTTTTTTTTTCACAAGTTAAAAACAAAAGGTGAGTCAAAATCAAATCGAAATTGAATGTATTCATAATACAGTAGGAAAATTTATCAAACTACAAAAATTATGTAATCCGAAAGTGAAATTTGTTTACTTGTACAGTGGACCTATGGTAATTCGACAAATGTTTTTCAGGGCAATGTTGAATCCTCGAATTTGTCAGATTATAAAATAATGCCTAATTCTCTATAGTCGGGAATTTTTTGAATAGGAGTACTTTGTAATTCGACAAATTACGAGTCCAGCATAACAGTGGTGTCGTGTACAAGATAACATAATATGTACAATCAAATCGACAATGATAGTCATGTTGAATTACAGGGGTCGCCGGATTAGACAGGGTCCGAATTACTGCGGGTCCACTGTATTTGCAATTCAATCTACATACAAAATGAATTATAATTCACTCTTAACCAACCGATTACGAAATAATCTTGAAAATTTGACTTCAACAACTAATTATATGAACTCCAACTTATACATAAAAAAACATAGTCTCCACGATATTCTGTTATCTTCAAATAATTTCACAATTCACATTCACTTTGGTTCTCTGAATAATGATTTTATAACGGTAATGATAGGACATTATGATAATACATAAGTAAGTTTTTGTACAGTTGCAAATGTATCTAACAAAAACACTTCTCCCCCACATCTGAACTGTAACACCCTTCTCGACACATGTTTCACAAATTAAGATGGAATTACATTTACAAATTTTGTGTATTTCTTTCAATGATGATATGCTTTTGGTCCGTGTTTATGAGTACTCATGATTTTGTATTCAAAAGCTCTGATTATATACCAGGAAAAGTATCTATTACACGTATGCAATGCAAAATCTTAATTTTTATTTCTTCATTAGGTATACAAGAGCCAGAGATTCCGGGCTGGAAAAGGTAAGATGCGTAATAGAAGACGCATCCAAAGGAAAGGACCTCTTGTCGTTTACCACAAAGATCAAGGTTAGTAATGAAAAATGTCCATTGAAAGTAATATATTTATGACTTCAATAATTTAGTACCGATTAAATTAACAATTTTCGATTGAATTAACAATTTTCATTAACTTTCAATTCCCATTTCAATGAACCATTGTAAATTTGTGAGAAAGACACAATTATAATTATTTTTCGTTTTTATTTATTTGTAAACAATCTGCACAAACAAATGTCCACAGTCTTACAAGCGTTTCTTGTTTGAATGTTCCAAACTTGTGCAATAGAAAATTGGTGGCAATAGGCGTTCCTTTCTGGTTGAATATCAGAAAAGGGCACTGTCCACCAAACATTCCTTTGAAAAACCATTATGTAATAATGCTTACACTCTTTGATCAATGTAATGAGCCTTTTTCCTGAGAATAGTACATCGAACGTGTCATGAGAGGCAGCACTAGGAGTAGGGACAAACAAACTATTCACATGTAAAACAGTATTGTTTACATAATATTTATCCTTTACAGTTACAAATTTTAGTTTTGCTCCAGGAACATTTTCTTCTGTTAAAAACATTCTTTTTTAATTGTACTTTACCATATGAGGATTTAGGCAGTGTTTGTCCCTACTGAACTACTAGCGCTGCTAGTGAGTGATTTTTCGTACTTCAGGAAAAAGGTTCATTGCTGCCCTGGTCATTACTTAGTAACTAAAAAAATATTGATGTCTAGTTGAATAATATCGTGAAGATTCTTGATTTGAATGAAAACTATAAGATGAAATTGGCAAATACTTGATGAAAATACATAACTAACGTAATGAAGAAACACTTTATTGTGAGATTATCACTATACAGATTTACAAAAACTAAACACGTTTCGCCATACAAGGGCAAAACACGTGTTGTGGTTTTGTAAAACAGTTGAGTGAAAATCTCACAATATAGTGTTTTTTTGAATACGTTAATGAAAACTAACGAAAGTTTTTGGAACATATGTTTGTACTTCTGTTATTTCCATTTATTTGCCTCAAAAATAATTGTTTCATAAACCTTCAAGGCCTCCGCCGTGCCTTCCGTAACATTCCTGGCATCGATCTGGTCAGCGTGGAGAAGCTCAGCTTGTTGAAACTCGCTCCCGGTGGTCACGTTGGACGTTTCGTCATCTGGACCGAATCTGCCTTCCAACGATTGGACAAACTGTTCGGCAGCTGGAAGACCCCTTCCTTGGAAAAGAAGGGTTACAACCTGCCACAGCCCAAGATGTCCAACACAGATTTGTCCAGGTTATTGAAGGCTGATGAAATCAAGGCTGTTCTTCGTGCTCCACAGTAAGTCAGACTTTTGTTCATTTGAAATTGTCGCAATACTTGTTACGAATAGCTTTTGATTTCGCAAAACCCCATTTTTCTATACCAAATTTTCTGTAGATTGAAATAGAATGAAAAGTTTCAACTGGAACTGGAATTGAAATTGAAAAAACGTAAAAATTTTTGCAAAAAAAATACCAGATTTATTAACAAGTTTTCATTTATCAAGTATAGTGTCCGACCGAAACTGGTTTTTATGACCGAAAACGAATTTCATCAACGGTCTCAGTTTCGGTCGAAACCGAAACTTCCTTATAAGGATTATGTTTTGAGGGAAACATAAAGAAAACGTTATTTCAATCAGTCAGTCTTGATATCATCAATGGTTTTTCAAAAATATTAAACATAAAATTACTTGTTCAAGTTGTTACTCAATATCACAATAGGTACTTAATTCTTATGTAATAAACAAAGTAAGTCACGACGTGATTAGGCACGTGGACACGGCAAAGTGTCTTCGTTACTTGTATGAAATTCAACGCGCCGAACATGCCCGATCACTCCCGAATGCGGTGTCGGTCGTAGTTTCGGCAGGTTTGCTGGCAAAACTGAAACTAAATCGAAACCAAACTTTCGGTCGGACACAAATCAAGTATGTAGTGATTACTTTATATCCTTAAAATTAAATGGATTGCTAGGTAATGAAGCAGAACAAGGTATTAAAAAACTAATTGCATGTAAAATTATTTCCTCTTGATACTTGGAAACTAAATGGAAAATGATCTGGTCAATTAATATAAATTCTTCTTTGATTCAACAGTAAAATAATATGTGATTATCTTTATTACAAGGAGACTTCAGTTAGTAATGATACATTCATTAGGTTTGATGCTCTTCTTCCACTAGAAATAGTTTGAATTCTGAACCCATATAATACAGATACAATTATATATGATCAACATTACAATATGGAATGGCAAACCTCTTAGTTCAGCCATTATTCAAAAATTAATTGAAGAAGTTAGGAATATAAAGATTTTTCGATCTTTTTTACTGATTATCAATTGTTCTGATGATTCTATTGAATTTCTATTGCCTAAAATGATGAAGCAAATTTAGAGCATTGGGTTATGATTGAAACCTGTGATTATATGTTGACACCTGAGTTTTTTTTCAGTTATGTAAATTTTTATATGTATTTTCAGTATGGTTTAACGTTTTTCTTTTTTTTTTCTCAGGAAGAAGGTTGTTCGTCGTGTACGCCGTCTGAATCCTTTGACCAATACCAGAGCTTTGTTGAAACTCAATCCATATGCTGCAGTCCTGAAGCGACAAGCTTTGTTGACTGCCCAGAAAAGGAAGTTGCAGAGAGATGAACAGCTCGCTAAGAAAAGAGGAGTAAGTATTTTTGCTTTTGTCATCTCATTTCTTTGAATAACTGAATATTTTAACCTGCAAAGTTTTTCAACTTAGTGATGATTGAGCTTTTGGTCCGTGTTTATGATATTTCATGATTTTATTATTCAAAAGCACTGATTCTGAACATCCAATGTGAAGGTGATGAAAGTCCTGAAACAAGAAATGAGTATGTTTTTTCTTTCAGATAACTTTGTCAGCTGATAGTGCGGTCATCAAGTCAGCAGCATTACAGAAGAGAAGGAGGGAACAGTTGTTGAAAGTCAAGAAAGAAGGAAAAGCTAAGCCTGTAAAAGCCAAGAAGTCCTCTGGCAAAAAATGAAAGGGGTCACTATAGTTATAGCATATAAATGAGTTTTGTGCATTTTAACTGTGTTGACCTAATTATATATTAATAAAACAACAAATTGAACTTCTCTATTATTTATTTGTTTCAAAAGGTTATTCCAGTTATGAGTTGGAACACGTTTGTCGGATGAAGACTTTTTTTTAGGTCAAATATCTGAAGAATTTATGAAGATGATTGAAAACGGAAAAGGAACTCTAATTTTTTTGGATATTTCTACTTGTTTGCTCTTCATGTTATAAAAGTGTTTATTTGACTATTACTCTTCACTATTACATCTGCCCAAATTGAATATCTGTCCATCAATATATTTTGACAATATTTCCACCTATTAATTCTCCTATCACCTATTAATAATAACTACAGGCTTCTGAACTTATTAGTTTCTATGTATGAGTTCATTATGTGGAGTATTTTCAATATGACTAATTATAATTGCCTTGTCCTTTGCAGCAGTGGCTGACTTTTTAGAAATGATTCTTGATTCAATAGGTGTACATAGTATCAAAATTTTAGATTACACTGAAAATGGGAAAGTAATGTGATGAATAATTATTTTTGTTTTTACTAATGTTGAATAAAGAAATTTCCAATCGGAGCTGTTCTATGCAGGATTGATTTTGTAGCCTCTTACACTCTTCCAATCAGCACTGATACGCCCTGGCTTCGGCCTTCGCCCCTACCGGAGTGCCCACCCTTTGAGCAAGGGGCATGTCATCGACCACGTCTCGTGAGCTGCTTCTGGTGGTGTCCGACAAGTTGCAGGAGATGAGCAAGACCAAGGAAGCTGTGCAGTTCTTGAGGAGGATCAAGGCATTGTCTGATATCCAAAAGGTATTTTTTTATCTGTATTCAATTTATAACCACTTGATTGAAGATAAACATTTCAATACAAAAAAAATGGTTTTGGCTCAATAATATAAATTAAGTTAGGAATATAAATATTATTTGATCTTTATTACTGCTTACCAAATGTCCTGATGATTCTATTGAATAATGTCTATTGCTGCCTAAAATGATGAAACAAATTTAGAGCATTGGGTTATGATTGAAACCTGTGATTATATGTTGACACCTGAATTTTTTTTTTTAGTTATGTAAGTTTGATATGTATTTTCAGTATGTTTTGATGTTTTTCTATTTTTTTTCAGGAATAGGGTTGTTTGTCGTGTACGTCATCTGAATCCATTAACCAATACCAAGGCTTTGTTGAGACTCAATCCTTACGCTGAAGTCCTGAAGCGACAAGCTGTGTTAACTGCCCAAAAAGGGAGTTACAGAGAGGCAAACAGCACGCTAAGAAGAGTGGTAAGTATTTTCACCTCATTTCTTTGAATAATTTTATATTTTGACCTACAAATTTTTTTGACTTGATGATGATTGAGCTTTTGGTCCGTGTTTATGATATTTCATGATTTTATAATTCAAAAGCACTGATTCTGAACATCCCATGTGAATCTGATGAATGTCTTGAAACTAGAAATGAGAATGTTTTTTCTTTCAGATAACTTTGTCAGCCGACAGTGCCGTCAGCAGCATTACAGAAGACGAGGAAACAGTTGTTGAAAGCATTATTTTTTGTTATTGATCTGTTTTGAAGCGTCATTGCAGTTATAAGTTGAAACACTTCTGTTCGGATGAAGGAAATTTTTTCAAGTTGAATATCTAAACTATCTAAAGGATTCATAAAGGTGATCGAAAATGGAAGAGGTGGAACAACTTGTTATAAAAGGACCAAATTGAAATGGTGAGATTTCATTTTATTCATTCAAGAAGTATAATTGTGTATAATTTAAACACAAGTCTCACTGAATACACTAAATATCATATAACTGTATTGATAACTTTTTTTTTAGTTTTATTTGCTCAATGCCTACTCGTTTGCTTCTCTTGTTATAAATTTATTGATTAGATCATTAGATGTACTATTACTTTTTACTATTACATCTGCCCGAATTGAGTATTGTTACACCAATATATCTTGACATTATTTTTTTTCATATTTGCTATCGATGACGTTTATATGGAGAAGAAGCCTCTTAAACTTCTATGGGGGTGGCATTATTTACACAAGCCATTAGGATTAATTTCAAGAACCATTGAAAAAGATTCTGACTTGCCACAGTTCAAGAACAGGTGTATGAAGACAGCAGAAACTCTAGTGTTACACAGTAAGTTGGTTTATTTTTTAATAAATTTGCTTTTTGGAAACGAACTGGAATTTTCAGAAATGTGGTTATGGTATTGAGACAATTTTGTTTGAAATGCTTTTAGGAAATTAAATTCATTAAAATTGGTGAATTTGACATTCTATTTTAATGACTATTATTGAAATCTAGAATTTTCAGAATTTTAAAAATATTGAAACACTTTTAACAGGCTGATCGCCACGAGAACTGGCATACGACTCAAGAATGAATATTGAAATGTATAAAATAAAAAGCAACTTGAAAACTGAATGCTAAATGAAACAATTGAAACCAACACCAGCAATAATAACTAACAAACATACAAGGTATAAATTTATAGAATAAATTGAAGACCTTCAAGGAGTAAGTATAAAATACAAGTTCTGATGCATTAGCTTTCCTCAACATTCTTGACATTGGACTATTGAATCCATTCTAGGCAATTAATTTGGCCTGAAATAATTTGAATAAAAATATTAGATCAGCCGGAATCCGCTTATTTCTCGATGTGGTTAGATGTAGTGTAGAAAGAATATCAGTGTTGTTACGTCGCTTATACCTAAAATCTTCTTCATTATTATCTGGCATTTTTTTAAGCAAAATGTTGAAAGAATAATTGTATATATAGTGGTTATGTTACACGTTTGTGATACAAAAATAGAGTAGACTGAAAATCATTGTTACGGTTATTTTTGTATTCAACTCCAGTTTATTCATTCTTAGATATATTTTTATAAAGTTGTCAAAGCTTAGTTCCAATCAAGATTGGCACTGAAGGATGACCTGAATATTGCCGGTTATCTTCGTTTTTGGCGTCGGGACGTGGCGACCCCATCGCCCAGGGATATCGACTTCAAGTCGACCCTGCAATCAGCCATATGCTCTTGGATTCGCGTCGAATAAAGTTGACTAATCGACTTATTTGACCTTTTCGCAAGCGCAGACATTTGTCGAGGCTATCTACGCCTGTCGCTTCGTAATTTTGGTACGAATCTGGCAAGGCGAATCAAAAAGACTCGAAATTTGATGCTCCAGGATTGAAGGGAAATTGTCTTTGATGGTTTCCGTTAATCCTATGGGACGAGGTGTGTGAACAACTCGAACTTCTAACATGTACTAACATGTAAAGCAGCATTATAAATGCAGTGGTACAATGGGAGTTTTGGAACATCTCTCCACGCCTCTTGGAGATGAATCGTTTTCCTTCAATGTAGTTTCGTGTTAGTGATCATGGATCACATTGTCAGAAAACGATTTTTCTGCTTCAGAGGTTATGAGAAATGCTTTAGTAAACCAATTGAACACTTTCAAGATACAGTATTTACCGAGGAAAGTGATGGTCTTTTTCCTGCATTTTCCAACATCTTTTGAAGGTCAATTGTTTTTCTCAAATGTATTATTTTGTTAGAGATCATATGATACATTGTCGGATGACAATTTTTACCAAAGCTAAGATAGTTATGGAAAATGCTTCAATAAGATCATTCACAATTTCAGACCGGGACAAAGCTGTGGATTTCCAGGAAAGCTTGCTGAAGTACTTTTCTTTATCTAATAACGAGCAATCATTTTCCAGCAATGTGTTTTTATATTTGTGCTCATGGAAGACATTGTTAGATGATGATTCTTTTGCTTGGTTATGGTGATTGTGGAAAAGACTCCAACCAACAAGCTAGGGGATGGGTTTATATATATTAGGTTTTTGAAGGAATCCATTTTTGGGTTTCTTTTAAAACCGAATGGTTCATCTAATTATTGTAGTAGAAAATTATTAATTTTAGATGCATGTATGTATGTGTGTGAATATGAGTGTTGTTTCGTAAAGGGTATTTACCTGCTTTGAGTTGATACTACATTCACTGATCTTTGAGAAACAAAATCAAGTTTTGCTGTAAAAATTGATGCTACACTATGATTAGTATTTTCGAATTTTTCCTTCATTCCCAAATTTTTCACATAGTTTTTAGAAAATTCATTAAGTTAGGTTTAGCAAAATCTATTAGCCATGTTGCTTTGAGCCTGATAAAATGAATTAATCTATAAACACATTTCTGAATAATTCTAATTTTTGATACTTACAATGATGAAACAAATTTAGAGCATTGGGTTATGATTGAAACCTGTGATTACCTGTTGACTTCTGAAGTTTAATTTTATAGTTTTTATTTACGCCTCCATTATTTTAAATACGTTTTTTGATGTACCCTTTTTTTATGTTCTGGATTCATTAGTCTTATACATCATCTCCATCTTGATGTGTCATAATCGAGAAACCATCCAGATCTGGAAAAAGGAGCTGCAGACAACTGAACAAGTCATTAAAAATAAAGGTAAGCTTTCATCAAGTTTATTGAAGTATTCAAAGTCGAACTTGATTTCTTCAAATTTGAAAGACATCCTGTTGTAATTGATGATATCAACGAAAGTATATTTTACAAGACAACAGGGAATTGAAATATTATTTCTGAAGTTGAATTTATTTATGCAATATTTAGTTAAATATATTTGTACAATGAATACTAAGATTGCTAAAAGTAAGAGAATTGCACTAACAATTTATAAGCATTGAAGTTTTTACAAATTACTTTATTTTCATTAACTTGTTCATTTTACGATTTAAATGATGATTTGCTTTTGGTCCGTGTTTATGAGATAAACTGATTATTTTTCAAAAGCTCTGAATATACTCAGGATTTAAAAAATTGAAATCAAATTATTAGAATTACTGATTTTCTTTTTTTCTTCGTAGGTATTTCGTGGACCTATGTTGTTTGCTTATTTGATATTTGCAGAAAATCAAGCTGAGGTAAGTTGAAACTGGCAGATACTTGATGAGAATCCATAATGTATTCAAGTGACACTTAAAAACTAGTTTCACTGTACATAAGCTTCCTCAGGCGTGTTCATACTAGTAGGAACTCACCTATTCAGTGAAAATCTCACAATTTAGTGTTACTTGAATACACTGAATTGATATATTTGTATGTTTTGTTTTATCCATTTCACAATCTGAAGATGAAAGTAAAGCCATTTGAAGAACTAAAATATCAATGGATTATTTTTTATCTAAATTGATCCTTTGGAGCAGTGGTTCTTAACCTTATAATCATGCGGGACCATTTGACAAAATTTCTGTCGAGCCATGAACCACCAAGTTGGTTAATTAGTTTGTAATTAATATACAAGTACCTTACGATAACTACAAATAAATACAGTACAGTAAATAAATGGAATGGTTGTTCTAATTCATCTATAAATAAAATACCATATTATTTAATGTCATTTAATCATAAGTTAAAATCTGTAACTGTAACAAAAATTGCATTATAAGTTGATGCGATTTTTGTGATTGCATACTCTTTACTAAATTCTGAATCCTTGGTTCAGTGTTACTTAAACGCATACCAGCAGTGGCATCCAACCGATTTTGGTGCTTGTTTTTAATAATCAGAAGCGCCGAAAACATAGATATGTCGAAGAAAATGAAGTTAGGTAACGAATAGCAATGTCTCGAAGTTTTGGGAATGAAATTGCCTTTTGGCTCCAAAATTTTTCAAGAATAATTCCTGATTCGAATGTATCTTTTAAGTTGATGTCGTGTAGCATATCTATTACTTCTTCTTGAAGTTAATCAGTCACCTAAGAAAATTATTACTTTCGACGTTGTTATCCATAGCTCGATTTTAGCGATATACGCACTGATTTTGTCTTCTTAAGCAAAAATTTTGCTCATGCCTTGCGACTTCAAATTTCCCGACCCTTGCAGTAGGAGGTTTAATTTATTCAGTTGCGCAAGAAAATCAACCAAATAAGCAAAATGTATTTGAAATTTGGACTCGCAGAACTGATCAAACAACTCTTTGTTTTCCTTGTCAGTTAAAATATTTTTACTTCATCTCTTAATTCGTACAACCTCAACATGTTTCCTTTGGAAAGCTTATGTACTTCCGCGTGGAAAAGCAGTTTCATGTTCAGAGTTCATATCAGAACACAATTGTTTGAAGAGACGAGTATTGGGTGCATTCTTTTTAATGAAATTTACTACTTTTATAGCTATTTTCATCGTCAAAGCAAAGCATTCTGGAAACGTCTTGGCAGCTAGTGCTTGATGATGAACAACGCAGTGCGTCGTAATTGCAATGCTGCAAGAACAGAGCGAGTACCAAGCATAGCAGGAGAACCGTCTGTACAAAACTCCGCAAGCCGTTCCCACATAAGTCCATGTTTTTCCATATATTGACTTATTGACGTCGTTTCAAGTTCTTGAGAAAATAGTAATTCTTCTTCAAACATTTTAGCGGCGGGTCGCATTTTATCATGTCGATTCATTTAACATATTTATTAGGATGGTTCCTCGAACAGCTTGGGATGCTTCCAGGGGCTACTAGTGGTCCGCGGACCACCGGTTAAGAACCACTGCTTTGGAGAAATGATGAATTGCTTCTGGTCCGTGTTTATGAGACAAACTGATTTTCTATTTCAAAAGCTCTGATAGTATTGAATGATCTTCACTTTCTCTTCCAGGAAGGCTTGACTCTTTTATTAACGAGTTTTTCTATTTGTAGATTCTAAAAATTCGCTGTCAATGTTTACAAACAAGGAACTTTCAGGTAATTATATTTTATTTGAATTATTCAGTTGAATGAGGTCAGAAATAAATTTCTAATAGAATTAATATAAAGTCTAATTTCATTACAATGAAAGATATAAATTTTGTTAGATTTTTGTAATTTGAAAAAGTTTCGAAGCAAAATATAATTTACTTTTATTTAATTTTACATTTTGCTACTATGTTTACATGAGCATATAACATAGGTTATGATAACAACTAGGTTTCTAATCTCTACTCTCAGAAGTATTTTTTAAACAGATCAAGCGTAGCCTTTACACCTACCTTCATGAACCCCCCCCTCCCGTCCCTGATTACTATTTCTGCTGCTGACTCCCTTGCAAAGAAGGGTGCTGCAAGCAGCTTCATCGGACCAAAAACGGTTGTTGGACTACAGTAGGGATGAACTACGATGTCTAACAGGCCTTCTTACAGGTCATTGTCATTTGAATCATCACATGCAGAGACATGGACTGTCGGAAGACAGTGTGTGTCGCCTCTGTTTGGAAAATGATGAAACAACAGAGCACATACTTTCTGCCTTCCCCGCTGGGGACCGAATCAGTTTTTTAGAGTTCGGCAGAGCCGTACTCTTACCATCAGACCTGAAAGACCACTCACCATACAAACTAATCGGCTTCGTTAATAAGCTGGGTTTATTTGGTCGAGTGTGAATAGGTGTGAGCCACAATAAACCCTTGTGGGTTGCAGTGGAGGGTCGATGGACCTAACTTAACATGATATAATACTGCTGTGTGAAACTGCTGTCAATAGTCACTATAGTTATGATTCCTATAAGATGGAGATTTTGATTGAATATTTTTGTGACCGATATTTGATAGTTGATATTTAGTGAAATATTCTGTGGGATTCATAAAAATGCAAATCAATTATAAACTTGTGGCAGCTTATTTTGTACCATATTTCTTCAGTTCTAATTTTTTACCCATATAATTGAGTCACCACCTCCCATTTCATATTGAAGAGAGTTTGAATCAGATTTTATCTCTATTACAGGCATTCGTTCTTTGGTAAATCAGCAGCTTAGGCAATTTTCATCTCAGTCAATTTCAGCACTTGATGGATATTTTCATACCTCAAGGCTAGCGTTAGTCATTTTTTCAGAAAGGTTATTGAAACTGTTTGATAACTTTCATATATAAATCTGAATTTCTCCAAAAACCTCTAAAATCATCAATTCCAATTGGAACTTTGGAAATTCGAGACAGTAATTTAATCCTAGAATATATTTTTTCTACATGATGAATCAATTCTTGATAGGAATTGCCGACTGATACATATATGAAGCTAATTCTTGTACTGAATTTAGAATTTATTTTCAATAATTTCATGTTTGAATTTAGTATTTTTAATTTTTTCCTTATCTTCATTCCAGGTTCAATGGAAAGATAGGAAGTAAAATTGTGTGTTGTCTCAAAGGATATCTAATGGAGTGATCGAATTAGTTCTTATCTGTAAGTATAATGTGTATCCAGATATTAATTGTTGTCTTGTAAATCACAAGTACAATGGTGTCAGAGTGTTATTTCTCTCAACATTCCAGTATTAACTAATCTATCACTGACAACATTTGTTAAAATGATGAAAACCTTTTTAGAGCACTGGGTTATGATTATACTCATGATTACTTGTTGACACCTGAATTTTTGTTGTTGTTGAATTTCCCTTCAAATTTTTAAGATCCCGTATTCAATTTGCTATTTTTGTTTGCAGGAAGAAGTTGCAGAGAATATATTTCTGTAAAACAGATCCTAAAATAATTACTTCTTGTAAGACTCTGATCTGGAAGGTCTAGGAACCAACGTAACAGGTTTCTGCCGAAAAACTAAATTTTCAGCAGTAATAGCCCAAGGGAATTATGAGTGAATTTCAATACAATGTTTGAAGTACCTTCAAAGGCTACCTGTATGAGAAAATTATAATGAAATTATGTATATCATGTTATTGTGATATTAATTTGAAAATGTTCCGTTATATTTTCTAAAACATTAAGAAAAAGCATTGTTTTATATATTATATGTTTTGAATAAATAACTTGTTTGAATATTCTCCCTACTTCCTAAAATAGAAAGTTTACTTCACTCGGCGATCTTCTCTCGCTTAGTAACATTTCAATTTTTATTTTGTTGATAAATACAGAAAAAAGGTTGTGTGAATCGAGATTCGAAAAGAGCGATTGAAATAAATGTATGCTTATCAATAATTTTGGAAACAATTCAATTTTTATATGAAACCGTCATTTTCCATCTTACTAAAAATAGTCTCTAAACTTTGGCAAATTTCCAAACCTCAAATAACGATTTTGTGCTGTAGATTACTTTGGCTTGCGAGAAGGCGTTCTCGATATTTAAAAATACTGAAGTAATCAATAATCTTTTTTAAAGCTCTGTTACGCCAGCAACGCAAAGTTTTTCTGGTCTAAGCTTTGGAACCATTCCTTGAGTTCACGTTCTGCTCCGACAAAATTCATCCCGTTATCTGTTATTATCTCTTTTGTCTGACTTCCACACATAAAACGTCGCTCGCCAGCAACGCAAAGTACGGAAATCGCATTTAGAAAATGCCAAAATTAGATAGTTTTTAGGTACCGAAGTCAAAAATTAGGTGCTCTGTAACTTACACCGCAACTCGTACTCAAAGTTGCGTTGCTAGCAGTATGTGATGATAGCAACCTAATGAAAATAATGAATGTTAAGGGAACACTATTAGGTGCTAATTAAGTGCTGAACGGTGAGGATCGTAAAATTTTCTAATTGATGAACAAAAGCTTCCAATTTCGCTAAACAAAAGATCTAAGAATCAGGTCTCTCGAAAACGAGGACGTATGCTCTATCAGGTATAAACTAAGCGTGGTAATAAAGTGCTAATTAGGTGCTTGCAAGAAATTAAGATGAAAACGACCGCGAATAAATGAAAAAAAAATTGGAGATACTTGATGCAATAAAAAATTAGCACTTTATTACCACACTTAGTTTATACCTGATAGAGCATTCGTCCTCGTTTTCGAGAGACCTGATTCTTAGATCTGTTGTTTAGCGAAATTGAAAGCTTTTGTTTATTAATATGAAAATTTTACGATCCTCACCGTTTAGCACTTAATTAGCACCTAATAGTGTTCCCTTAACATTCATTATTTTAATATTATTTTCATTGCGTTGCTAGCATCACATACTGCTAGCAACGCAACTTATTGCGGAGTTGAGTTGCGGTGTAAGTTACAGAGCACCTAATTTTGGCATTTTCTAAATGCGATTTCCGCACTTTGCGTTGCTGGCGAACAGAGCTTTTTTTTTTAAATTGATAACTTAAGATATTTTCTCTTCAATCAATGTTAGTAATCTGAGTGCTTGAAATCGTTAAAGCATCAGAAACCTCGGCATATGCACTCCCCTCATCAAGCCCATAAAAGATATGCATGGCTGCTAATTCGGTATTTTTCAATTTTTAAACAAGTTTTTATGAATTTAATAATATTACGTATCTAGCTACAGAAGTATCAACATTGTTTGTTAACAACGAATGTAGCACTCTAGAAGTGTTTATCCCATATGGACGGAGCGAATGAATTTATGAGTCATTATTCATTGCTGTTGGACGCTTCTTTGATTTAGCTATATTTTTTTGTACACATAATTCAAATGTTTCGAAATTCTATCCCTGCTGCGATTAACTTGACCCGTTCAAATATTACAATAATTGATAACTATAAATAAATATCTTGTAGTATAAATATCATCTTGTAAGATTAGATACATGATATTTGTTGAGCTAAATACATAGATTTTTGTGTAAATTATTATGAGATAAACGATTATTATAATTCTCGATAACTATGTACTGTGTATAGATGAACAATAATGTATGATATACTTATTGAAATAATAGTGTTTCTAAAAATATGAATGTAATGTAAACAAAAAAAAATCAACAAAATTTTTTATAAGTCTTGCATAAAGTATAGTATTCTACTCGCATATAATAGCTATTATCCTCGCCTGTGGCCGTAAACTTCCTGGATAATAGCCATCATTACCTCAAAAAGGCAGGGACTATTTTTTATAAAAAGATAGAGGGCAATTACGAAATAGTAAATTTACGGGACAAGTCTAGTAAATATTGTTTTTTCGGACGAGTAGATAGAATTCTAGAATGATCCGTAGGTATGTAGTGAGTGGGTCTATTCGACCCTCCACCGCAACCCACAAAGGTTTATTGTAGCTCACACCTATTCACACTCGGCCAAAATAAACCCAGATTCTTAACGAAGCCGATTAGTTTCTATGGTCAGTGATCTTTCAGGTCAGATGGTGAGAGTACGGATCTGCCGAACTCAAAGAATCTAATTCAGCCCCCAGCGGGGCAGGCACAAATTATATGCTCTGCTGTTTCATCATTTTCCAGACAGAGGCGACACACACTGTCTTCCGACAGTCCAAGTCTGCATATGATGATTCAAATGACAGTGACCTGTATAAGAAGGCCTGTTAGACATCGTAGTTCATCCCAACTGTAGTCCAACAACTGTTTGGAATCAAGCTTCGAAGGGTGAATAAACGCCTTGGAGTGAGCCAATCCTGGATAATTTTGCCAGAAGTCCATAAATCTTCTTGCCATCCAGGTGTTCAGTGTTTGTTTGGCAAAACCCAAAGCGATGCCAATGACAGGTTCTGGTCCAATGAAGCCGCTTGCAGCACCCTCCTTTGCAAGAGAGTCAGCGGCTTCATTGCCTTCCAGGCCAGTATGGCCAGGAATCCAGACCAGAGACAATCTGTTAAGTCTTCCTATCGAGGAGAGTCGATTTTGGCAGTTTGCTACCAATTTAGGCGTTGCTCGGTAGGAGCCAAGAGCTTCCAACGCCGCTTGACTGTCCGAGAATATTTTTAATGACTTGTGTGTGAGGTTGGATTTATCAAATCTCTCCTCACACAATTCAATAGCGTAAATTTTCGCTTGAAATACAGTCGCATAAGTTCCTAGGCAGGTAGATAACTCTGCCCTGGGTCTGTGACTGAAAACACCTGCATCAAAACCGGAAGGTGTTTTTGATCCATCCTGTGAACCAACAACTATCTGCTCTTAATATTATCTTCTCTCGGAGGATCCAGTCCTCTCTACTCGGGATTAGTACTTTATAAGGAAGTTCGTAGTTGACAGATGGAGGCATAAAGTCAGAGATCATTTCCAGAATGCTGTGACTTCCAATGTCAACCAACAGTCTGTTGCACTCTGCATTGAATTGATTTGTGCAATTGGCAATGTGCACAAGTCTGTATGCAGTCCATCTAGCCTCTCTCTAAAGAAAAATGTGGAGAAGAGGTAGATCTAGAAGGATCTCCGTGGCCACTGATGGTACCACTGATAGCCAGACAAGCCTGTCTCTGTAAGCCAGAGTTTCGCTTGGGCCGTTTTCTGTAAAGCCTTCGGCCACCAAGCAATTACACCATAAGTGATCATTGGCTTGACAATCATCACATAAATCCAATGGATTTGTTTGGGACCTAAACTCCATGTTTTACCACAAATCCTTTGACATGTCCATAGGAGACAGTCTGGCTCTGTGTAAAACGTTTTCCAAGTGAGTCTTTTATCAAGAACAATGCCAAGATATTTCACCTCCGTTCCAAATGAAATGACTACACCATTGAGGGAAAGTGGCGTTGAATCGTCCAATTCTCTCCTCCTGGTGGAGGGGATTAACACAGTTTTGCTGGGTTTTACAGACATCTGCTCTCTTAGGCACCAACTGTGAACAACGCCCAACGCGCTTTGGAGGATATTACAAGCTACACTTCCCGACGTTGACCTTGCCAAGATGACAATGTCATCTGCATAAGCTTGCAGATCAACTTTTCTTCTGTCGAGGGCATCAAACAGACTATCCACCAGGAGCGACCACAGAAGGGGAGATAGTACCCCACCTTGAGGGCAGCCCCTGGTGACCCTGAACCTAATAGCCTCGCCTTGAAGAGTCGTAGTTGCAGTTCTGTTTACTACCATGACATATATCCAGCCAGTTAAGGTCGATTCTATACCCTTCTTAGCCAGAGACAATCCTATAGATGTAGGTAGTGCATTGTCAAATGCTCCTTCAGTATCAAGAAATACAGCAACCGCAATGACCCGTAGGCGAGTCCTGGAAATCAGCGAGTGTGGGCGTATTGCCTACACTATTTTTTCGGTAACTGTGAAAAGATAAATCAGTGAGACACATTTCTTTGTTGTTGAATGTAGAACAAAATTTCGAATATATTAATTCTTACTTGAATATTCTCGGAGTTTTATCGCAACACAAACCCGTTATTTTTAACACCTCGACACGTGTTTTGATCACCAAGTGATCATCTTCAAGATAAGATTAAACTAGATATACATACAATGTTGTCCCTATTTATACCATAGATACCTCTGCTGGGTATTGCGTCTTAATTGTCTTAAATTAATTTCACAATGTTGTCTTATCTAATAGTTAGGTAAATCTGATACTTAAAATATTATTTCAATAAGCTATATAGAATACTGTTGAGTATTGGTCTACAGTCATTATTCATATTATTATGTTTACTTATTTCTATACTCTCGTAGGTATCTAGATGCCTGTTGTTCTTAACTTTTCAAACTAATCTTAATGAAGTAAAGTCTACGGAATGGTTTTGTTGCAAAATATGATGGGTGACTGCTGATTTTTCTGGTGTTCCATATTTTAGGTGTGCTAGTGTTCCTTATATCTTATTTTAATAGATCTTTTAGTCTGTCCATAATATTTTGCATCGCAGTCCTTACATTTAATTTCATAAATTTCAGACTGTTCCAAATTCTCGACTTTGTCTTTTGGACTTCCCAAAAGGCTCTGTAGTGTATGACTTATTTTAAATACTACCTTCATACCTTGTTCCTTGAAAATCTTTCCAAAGTTCTTCGTGTAATGGTGGTATGTTTATGGTGGTCTTGGTTTTCGTAGTTTCTAAAAGTAGTGGTTTTGTTCATTCTTTAACCTAAACTTTTTCTTTCTTATAATATTATCATATCTCTCGAGAAACAGTTAATTTGCTGACTGCTATTTTCTGTATTGTCCGTTTTTCTTTTGTGAACCTCTCATGTGTGAGAGGAAAAGTCAAATGACGATGCACTAGAAAATTCAGCCCAGCACGTTCGTGCTGCCTATAGTGATGTGAACTGTCAGGAATATACCTGCAAGTGCTTGTTTCCTTCCTAAATACATCGTATTCTAGCCTTCCTCATTGTGGCTCCTCATTACCAAAACGTCAAAAAATGGAAGTTGTCCTTTACTCATACGTGAATTTTATTGATGGAAATCTGTTATTCAAAAAGGAAACAAAGTCTCCTCAATATTCGATTTTTTATTTTCGAATATCGCAAAAACATCATCCACAGGAAGGAAAAGTCAAGGTTAAGAATGAAGGAAATCTCATTTTTTAGAAAAGACGAAAATCGAGATAAACATATCTTGGTTCCATACCACCAATACACGATGAACTTTGGAAAGATTTTCAAAGAACTAGGTATGAAGGTGGTGTTTGAAACAAGTCATACACTCCAAAGGACACAGTCGAGAATTCAGAAAAGTCTGGAATTTACGAAATTGAATGAAAGGATTGTAATGCAAAATATTATATCTATTAAAATAAGATACGTAAAATACTGGAACCATTCCTTGAGTTCACGTTCTGCTCCGACAAAATTCATCCCGTTATCTGTTATTATCTCTTTTGTCTGACTTCCACACATAAAACGTCGCAAGTATTGCTGAACTTGTGTCCAAATATGCAGCGAGTTCAATATGGATTGCAAAAATCATTATCTTCATTTCGTAAACATCTGGACTTTGATTTCTCGCCATAAAAATAATTGTGCACATCTGTCTTCCTCGATAATTGAAATTCTATGAAACATATCTCTGATATCACTTCCAAAAGCAATTCTTTCCTCCCTGAATCGCCACAAGACATATCAAAGATGGAACGTAGTCAGGACCTTGGCAAAGGAAATCGTTAAGACTCTTACCATGAAGTAGATATAATAACGTTTACCACACCTCGATTTCAAAAAACATTTATTCGACATATGCCCAAATTTGAGGCAGAGGAAACGTAATTTGAAGTTGAGAACATTCTTTCGTCTTTCATTCACTGATAATTCAGAGAATTTCGTACATTTTGTTAATACGTGGTCCAGCTTTTTACAAAAAATACACTCACTAGTTTTATTCTCCGAAAAACTATCTCTTTTTGAAATCATGACAGTTTCTCTTCTGATAGGATTATTCGATAAACTATTTCTTTGAAAAGGATTACTAAAAGCGGCCATCGAGTTGAGCTCTTCTTCAAACCATTCAGAAAAATCTTAAAATGATGATTGTATTCCCTTCAAATCACGTTGATGCTTGAATTTTCCTCATGGAAACTTTTGCATAGTAGGAAGCTTGTCTATCAAATTTGCTAATAGATCTACATTGTAAAGATACAGATGAGAATTGACGTTTTTCATTGTGGTTACCATGTTATTTACAACATTAGAAAAATAAATCCATGACTTCCACTTGTCTTCTTTAATGTAACCAGCTTTTTTCGCCCTTTCTATCAGCGACAAAATTATCCACTCCGGTCTACCAAAATTCATTTCTAGCATCTTGATAATTTTGGAGACGTTTCTCGGGGAAATGAGAAGAGCTTTCACAGTTTCTCTTGCTTTGCCCTTCAATAAATAAATAAAATATTTATTAATCCTTTCAACTATTGTTAACAATAGATAGGATAAGTCAAAAACAGTGTCATTAAGTTTTAATTGACTAACAGGACGAAACAAGCACAATGATGACTAACATAGACTATGTAAAATACACTTCGATATCATCTCAAAATTGAAAAGTATAATTCAAATTCCTCAACAGTATAGAAACATTCTCTGATAAGGAGTTCCCTAAGTCTATACTTAAAAACCGCCGGGGATCCCGCGTATTTTATTTCGTTCGGAAGACAGTTAAAAAAACGGCAGCCTGCATTGATGGGAGATTTTTTGTAATAGGAGTGTTTGGGCTTGTTCAATTTGATATCATTTTTATTTCTGGTGTTGTAAGAATGTGAATCACTATTAATGGGAAATGAATGTTTGTTATTGAAAATATATGTTAATAGTTTCATTAAATAAATTGATGTAACCGTGAGGATCCCTTTAGTTTAGAAAACCTGTCTGTATGATTGGCGACTACTAATGTTAAAGATAAGCCTTATGATTCTTTTCTGAGCAACAACAATTCTTGTTATGTCTGATGCCTGACCCCATACTATAATATTGTAGAAAATTGTGGAATACATAAATGCATAGTAAACCTGTAATAATGAATCTGTGTTCAAAATATTTCTTAGTGTTGCCAAAATATAAAAGCTTTTGTTGATTTTTTTACATACTATTTGTATTTGATCCTCCCATGTTAGGTTACAATCTATGAGCGTTCCTAAGAATTTAGATGAAGTGGAGGTTTCAACAATATTATTATTGACTTCGAAGGTGAAATTNTATTTCTTTATTTCCATTTCTTAACACTATACCAAAATATGAAGGAGGCAGAATCTCTAATAAAGATATTGCTGGATCTGTACCGCCCCCGACGGTCGGTTTTTTGATTTCACTGCTGACATATTTTTTTATTTCCAGTTGTCACCACTATAACGAAATATGAAAGTGGCAGAGACTCTATTAAAAATATTGGTAAATTTGTACCGCCTCCGACGGCCGGTTTTTTGATTTCGTCACTGCTATATTTCTTCGTTTCCTTTTGTTAACACTATAACAAAATATGAAGGTGGCAGGGTGTCTGATTAAAATGTTGACAGAAGTATACCGCCCCCTACTCGGATTTTTTGTTCAGTTTTCACTATTTTCTATAGTTTCCGTCATTTCAAATATTCATGATGCCTTCAAAATACATTTTTCAGTTTCGGAAAAGAGAATAGAAAATACGAAATATTGCTGAACTTTATTGCCAAAGTAACTGAGGTGTGATCTACAAATTTTTTATGATCAGCTATCCCAGCTACTTTCAAGATGGCCGTAGCTACAAAATGGCGGATTACATATTTTTTCATAACTATCTCAATATGTAAAGGAATGCAGGCTTCCATGGTTGGCATCAATGTTTTGGTTGATTTCCAGGTTTTGCTGTGGTCTTCTTTGGTTACAATCTCCAAACGTTTCAACTGCAACAGTCATCTTCAGTGACGTGGTCGAAGTACTCTTCTTGAAATATCAACTTATTTTTTTAAACACGACATAATGGTTGGCTGTAAAATTTTGAGCCAGGGTTACTCAAAATAGTTTCGTTATTTGCAAAAGTAAAGTAATTGAGATCAATCCCAATGTTATTCCGCTAAAACAGAACTAACACTGTAAACTTTCAAACTACAGATTGTACAAATTTACATACCGGACTGCCTAAATTATAATATTTCATTTGAAATACTGGAAATAACAATTTGTCTCCCAACTTCCTTATTATATATACATTTAAAATTCAGTATTTCAAATTTTTTATTTGACAAAGTCTACAATGGAATGAGTTTGTCGACATGTAAACATCAATTATCAATCAGCTTGGTTTGATACAAAAGATGGAGAAAGTAGATAATTATAATTTGGCTACCTAAATAAAACAGGTGATAATAAAGCCCTACAATCCCACAGAAAAATGTGATAGTTCCCGCCTTTCTCCTTCATGGCTGATCGTTTCTCCTGAAAGTCTTCATTGGGTTAACGCTGAAACAGTCTTCATTGGGTTAACGCTGAAACAGTCTTCATTGGGTTAACGCTGAATCAGCTTTCGCAAGAAAGAAGAGACAAATTCAGAAGTACAAGAATGTATCTTTATTACAAGGACTGCCAATGTTGATTACAAAATTATACAAAACGGATCAGGAATTTCCCTTCTGAAAATTACAATAGTAGTTGACTCTTCATCTCGCAAAAATTAAAATTTTTCACATTCAGAACAAAAATATTTTCCGAGAAGTATTCGTGACACTTCACCCAATAAAATAAAATTCCACAATTGAAATACCGTCAGACTCTCCCTGAACCATACACAAATTATGTTCATGGCATCAACTTCGACAATCAAGTTCTTCTCTTTGCTTTGATCTGTGTCCGGGGCCTCCCCGTGGTCGATGACCCGCTCCCGATACTGAAAGTACCTGGCACGGCGGGTTGTGTCGCCCCAAAAGCTGTTGTAGCAGAACCACCAAAAGTTGGAGTGACGGTACCACCAAAAGTAGGAGTGACGGTACTACCAAAAGTAGGAGCAACGGTACTACCGAAAGCTGGAGAAGTAGTACTACCGAAGGCTGGGATAGTAGTATTACCAAAGGAAGGTGCAGAAACACTACCAAAAGAGGGCGTAGTGGTGCTACCAAAAGAGGGCGTAGTGGTGCTACCAAAAGAGGGCGTAGTGGTGCTACCAAAAGAAGGCGTCGTAGTACCACCAAAGGAGGGTGTGGCGTTACTACCGAAAGATGGGGTAACGCTACTACCAAAAGCAGGTGTAGTGGTATTACCAAATGAAGGTGTAGCAGAACTTCCGAAGGCTGGGGCGGCAGTGCCACCAAACGGGGTTCCAGTAGCACTCCCGAAAGAAGGCGTTGTGGAACTGGTCGAGGAATTAAAGTTGAACTTCGGTTTGTCGCTTGAAGCAGCTCCTCCAAATGAGAACACCCCACCGGGTTTCGGAGTGGTGGAAGAGGACCCGAAGCTGAATGGCTGAGGATTTGCGGCATTATTGGTAGTACCGAACCCACCCGCGACCTGATTTTGCGCGAAAGCGTTGGTACTGCCGCCGAACAAGTTCTGAGAAGGACCGGGGCTAGAAACGCCCCCAAACAAGTTCGTTTCCGCATTCTGAGGTTTCCCGAACGCCGAACCGGTGTTACCAAAACTGGGTGTCGAAGCTCCAAACCCTGCAGAGGAAGTATTTGTACCTCCAAAAGTTGGCGCCGTTGCCGTTCCGAAGCCTCCGGCTTGCGTCGTAGATGCGCTTCCAAAGGATGGAGTAGTACTCGTTCCGAAGGGGCTAGCTTGCGTCGTAGACGCGGTTCCAAAAGATGGAGTAGTACTTGTTCCGAAGGTGCCAGCAATCGTTGTAGAGGCGGTTCCAAAAGATGCAGTAGTACTCGTTACGAAAGCTCCAACTTGCGTACCTCTGTTCTCCCCAAAATTCGTACCACTCCCGAAGGAGTTCGCATTACCAAAAGAGGGAGCTACAGCGGTAGTGGTGGTAACGGCACCGAATCCTCCCGTTGTACTTGTAACGGCTCCGAATCCTACGGTATTGTTCGTCGGTCCGAAGGCAGGCGCATTGATGGAGGCAGAACCGAAGATGTTGGTTTGTGCAGTACCAGTTTGAAACGCAGTATCGAAACTTCCGCTGGTCGTTGTTGCTACTCCGAAACCTACGGTGGTATTTGTCGGAGCTCCGAAACCTCCGCTGGCGGAGTTCGTAGAACCAAAAACGTTGCTCGAATTCGTAGAAGTTTTAGGCCCGAACGAAAACGTAGGGGCGGCGGTACTTCCGAAGGCCGGTACCTCGACCGTTGTGGTACTACCAAACGATGAATTGGCGAAAGCATTAGAGGCAGTTGTCGTGAATATCTTCGAAGCGGTCGTTCCGGTGACGCTCTTTGATCCGCTGAAGCTAAACGGTGCGGTAGTACTGGACGCGGTACTGACGCCGAATGAGGTGGTACTGGGGGTCCCGAACGGAGCTTCAGTTGTTTTCGCACCTGAAGACATATTGTTCGCAAAGGGCGAGGCGGTACTTATTGAAGTGCTGCCGAAAGTAGGAGGGGCGGATGTAGTACCGCCGAAAGTAGGAGGAGTGGATGTTGTACCGCCAAAGGCTGATGTGATACCACCAAAAGCGAGAGGGGCGGAGGTGGTTTTTGATAAGTTGAGATTGGTAGATTGTGGGAGCGAGAAACTGGGTACCGTTATGGATGAAGTTGACGTTGTAGTAACAGAGTTGGTGGTTGTTTTTGGTGAATTGAAAGCAAAAGAAGTTCCAGAGGTGTTCGTTACTGGGATTGTACCTGTGAATGAGAAAGTGGGAACTTTGGAAGGGACCGTCGCAGGTGTGGAAAGAGGCGACCCAAAAAGCGAAGTTTTATTCATTGCGCCATCGTTGGGTTTGGATGCGCCAAAGTTGAAAGAAGGTGCAGCAGATACTGTGGGCGTCGGAGCGCTGATCATAGAAGAAGTTGTTAGCCGGGCTGCGCAGAAGCGTTGGTAGTCGTAGGGATGGTGGGTTTCGGTATGTCAGAGAAACTAGTACCTGTAACGGCTGAAGAAGCCGGGGTTGTGGTGGTTGCGTTACCGAAGAGAGGTGTCTCGGCTGCTTTAGGTTTTTGAGAAGAGGGAAACGAGAAAGAGGCGGTGGTTACAGCCTGGAGGGTACTGGTGGAGGTAAGGCCCGTCGAGACTGGTTTACTCAAGTCGAATTTGAAACCGCCAACTTTTGGAGGACTCGTGGAGACAGTCGGGGGGCTAGGCATCGTAGAAGCGTTACTACTAAAGGTGAAAGTAGAAGGGGCCACACTCGTAGTCACGGAGACAGAAGATTCCTTAGAACTTAAGATGGTGCTGCTGGTATTGGTGTGTGTGATAGACCCGAAAGAGAAGCTGGGAACAGATGTACACGCTGGAGCCGAACTGACGGGTGAAGAAGGTGGGGCCGGCGTTTCCGATTTGGTGGCAGCCATGTTTATAGAAGTCGAGGAGGCGGTACTAGCGCTAGTCAGACTCGAGACAGTACCAGTTGACTGGTGGGTGCTCTCCGGGACACTGAAGTGAACATGCCTGTCGGACTTATTGGGTGATTTGTTTGCCGAGGACAGAATCGACACCAAAAGTTTCTCTGTCGATTTTTTCTCGACGACGGGCTCGGCCAGTTTCATTACTAGTGAAGCCTTCTTGTCGACGAGATTACCAAGAAGAGTCGACATTCTACTCGTCCGAACCAATTCCAGTGCCTCTTCCTCGAATGGTTTGACTGCGATCTCCGCTTCAGTTTCGTCTCTGTTCGAACCTCTGTCCTCGGTCGATTTTTCTGGTGTTGGTTCAGTGGCCGTTTGCGTTTCAGCGTTAATCAGTTTCGATTGGTTCGGCCTTTTTGGCTCCTCGGTGGCGGTGCTGATGCTGACAGATCTTTTTTTCGGCGTAGCCGGCTCTGACTTTTTGAACGGAAAGTTTGAAGACGAGCAAGAGGCCGCGTATTCGTCGTACATGCACGCCTTTTTAGAGGATTGTACAACAGAACTGGAACAAGATTCCGATGGAGGAGATTCTTCCCTCTGCCTCTTGTTGTTCTCTTCCAACATTTCGGAGTCGTCCGTCCTCGGGCGTTTGAAGGTATCTTCGTTCTGCTCGAGTTCTTCGCTAGCGTGCATTCGTTTCCTGGATATTTCTTTGAGAGCGTCAAGGATGCTCCTCGCCGCGGTCGTTTCCGGTTTCGGTGAGCGGGAGAATCCGGAGCCACCACCGAATGGCTTGGCAGTGCCGTCCAGTACTTTCTTGGCATATTCTTGGGTCCGTTGTCTGGCATAATCTGAAAACAAGTACAAAATACTGTACGAGAGCAACAAGATAATGTATTTATACACAATGATGTGGAATGTACTGTTGTTTAAGTTATATTTAAAAGATATTCATTATATCTAAGAGTGTGACTTCTTAATTCTCTTTGCAGATGACACTTTGCTGACAGCCAGTAATCTCAGTTTATCGACTTCCATCAATAAACTCAATCTGAATACCAATTGAATATAACAACTCAGTATGAGTTTTCAAAATGTTACTATCAAAATAACCAATATATTTCCAAAACAAAAATTTCAAAGAAAAATGTAACCAACGACAGTTACTTTGAACATAATGTTTCACAATTAAACCGCCCTCAAACTCGACAAAAATACTGATGTAATCATTAATTTATTGACATGCTAGTTGGATCTATCCTAGAGTTAATTATCTGATTGGATCATAGGTAGCAATGTTATAACAGAGGCAAAGGTAGATACATGAGAAAAAAATATTTATTATCAACCATTCATTACACAAACGAAAATTGTTGGTATGGACGTATCAGACATTTTCTAAATATATTAGAGGGTCTAACAATGTTATTAGCTTGATTTGAAGCTTTATATCTTCTATTATCTGCGAGCGGTTTCGACAGCTGGTCGTACTGTCATCTTCTAGGCACGCCTCGAACTGAACTTGTCATCCTGTCGTCTGCCTCTTTATACGGTCCGAACGTCTCAACTCAGGTATTTCAGGTACTTTAGGTAAATTTTCCTGTATTTGTATTGCATCAGGTACTATTATTTGTGTTAGATCTTCTCTAGGAATGTGTATTCCTAGATTAGATCTTCTCTAGGAATGTGTATTCCTAGAGAAGATCTAACACAAAGAATAGTACCTGATGCAGTACAAATACAGGCAAATTTACCTAAAGTACTTGAAATACCTGAGTTGAGACGTTCGGACAGTACGACCAGCTGTCGAAAGCGTTCGCAGATAATTATTAGCTTCAAATCCTATTTGTGAAATTTAATATTAAAATATTGAAAATAAAGGAAAATTAGTTGTTTCATTCAAATATATGTTCCAGCAGTCAAGCTGCTGGAAAATAATTCCATAAAATTTAAAAAATCTATAGATAAGTACTATTCTGATCATTCCCATATTGATTTCAATTTAAGAGCCACCGCTATACAGCTGTTTCAGCCTATTGGGCATCGTCAGTACCGGGCAGGCGGTCCTCGATTGAAGACCAAATGTGTCGATGGTCATCGTCGTTTATGTCAGGCTGGAGCCTTGCTCCCTTTGGGCTGATTTTCGTCAGAGGGACGAATGGGTCATGACTGATTAGTGAGAATTCTCACTGTCGGTAGGAGCATTAGCTACTCCCTGATTCTCATCTGTCAGATTTTGACGGCTGGCCCCAGGTACTGGCAATGCACTGCCATGCAAATCTGACTGACTCAGGCCGAAGCACGAGATTAGTTGGCATACAATGCTAACAATCTCGGCTTTTTCCCTGCCAGCCAGACCGCGAAGCAGTTCCTCCATACTGCTATGAGACTTTTTAACGCAANCTACTTGGTGATGACAGTGTTGTCAGATCTCAAATATGTCTATAATCTGAATAAAAATTACAAACAAATACTTTGTTTCCAAAATTGAAGTTGTTGTAACTTCGTTGTTAACAAATATTTTTTAATGAAAATTTGACAGTTTTGATTTATAACGACTACGAATCCAGTGGTGTAGTCAAATTTGAAAACAAAAATTGCCTAATAAACTTTTGCCGTTTTTGACAAACAAAAAAAACCATAGAGTGCCTTGGAAATGAAACTAAAATTGTGAAAGTTAGTGTCAAGATACAGTTTTTCATGCTCAATATTTCAATAAAAAAAAATTGAGATTGATTGAAAAATGCACATTCTACAGAGGTGGTTCCATTTTAAATGGGTCACACTGTATATAGAAAAATTTCAACTTGAAGTGTTTGAGGGGAATTATACAAGGCTTCCTTACATAATTTAGATATAATTCAAAACACTTATATACGCCTATGAATGCTTATTATGGACAATGTGTAAACCAATTAATATAATCTATCACACTCAGAATACATAAATGATGGCAAGCTACACATATAAAAAATATCAATAGCCACAAAAAACTTGAGAAAAAAATAAAACTATTCATTAAAAACCATTATAATTAACTGAAAAATATCTTTGAGAATGACTGAATCAGAAACCTCCATCAGTCTATACTCTACCTTGATCCTCTACATCAATATTTATATCTATGCATTCATATCAATTTCTACATATAGTGTTGAAACTTTTTGGTTTAATAAACCTGATTACAACAGTTTTGAATGCAACTTTCATTCAACTTGACTTACAGTAAATTCTCGAAATTGAATTGTCTTAAAACAAGTGACTGATCTGTCAAAATAAAATATTAAACTTATACACAATGTCTTCAACATTCTCCAACCCGTGAAGAAGTCAAGTCTTCATCACAGTAGGCAAAATACACAGGTAAAAACTTTCAGCGAACCGCTATTGTTTTCTTCTGAGTATATCATTTACGTTTTCACTGTAAATATCGACACCACCAGTTCTCAGCAACAGAAAATTATTGGGAGTGATCGCTTCTGGGTCATTAGGTTCTACTGAGATATGTGTTCTAGATCTAGAATTCAGTGTATATTCAATTTCGGCCATCAA